ATGTTAGAATAGTGCTATGTATAAATCTATATTCAAAGTCGTGCTTTCAAGACATGAAAAATGCAATTTGAACTTTGTCAATCGGCCCAGTAGAATGGGAGATATAGAACTGTACTTTTTTTTTTTTTTTCCTCTCACAGTGTACTCATCGGTATTGAGCATTTCTGTTATCAGTACCCTTGGAAACAGAAAATATCATACAAATGGATAGGCCATCTTACTTGAACCCAATTGAGCAAGTTTGGAATGCCATAGGCCACGAACTCCAGTTCACCAAGCCTTTGGAATCTGAGAAATACGCTTTCAGAAGCATGGTTTACTATTCTGCAAGACTGGATCATAGTTTGATAAATCCTATGAAATCAGGATGTGACTTTTGCATTGCTGTCATAGGTAACCAAACACCATGAAGAAGGATTTTTATAAAACATAGACATCATTCTTACATCATGTTCAAATTTGATGTTAAATTCAATCTTTTGATATTAAGCAATAGGCAGACGGAATAATTATGTTAAATAAGGCTTTTGTACAAGTTGTTCCTAAAAATATTTCAGTAAGCAGAAAAGTTTTATTCTTATCAATATCCATGAATTTTGATGAGCAATGAAGTTCAATCATATTAAAAATTGCTATTCAAAAAGTCTAAGGATTTTTTTTTTTTTTTATATTAATAGAAATCTTCTAAATGATGTTATTAATGACTCAGTTTATAAATAATTTAAAATTTTATAATTTTATAACTGTGCAACTATTAAAGTGGTCTTGAATATCAACTTGATATTTAGTGTAGACTTAGGATCAAATGCTTGATGTTGTTATCCCTCCTTGACTATTATCAATCAGCTTATCGTGCTTACGAATTGCTTTTGCAAGTATTTTGAAAAAAAAAAAAAAAATTGTTGCTTAGTCTGTTTCTTGGAAAAGACTAACTTTATCTTCCCTTATCAGAGTATTCTGTAAAGGAAAAACAATATCAAATAAGCTTCCTGTGTAAGAATCCATTTATGCAGCCTTTGTCAAAAGAAACTATCTGGTTTCTGTCATTGGAAAAGTTTTTGATCAGGCATGAAGATTCATTTTATGTGACCTTCATGTTAATGGCTTGCATGGTAACCTGCCCATTTTCATTCAAATGTTTGTGAAGGCTAGGACCATTCAAGTAAGAATGAGCTCTGTGTTAGATATCTTTGAAGTGTAAGAGGATATGCTCCAAGGTTGTGTTCTGAGTATTATTCTGTTCAGTCTGAAAATAAATTCTCTATTAAAGTAACTTCCTCCTACCATCATTTCAGGATAACCTTCAAATAAGTTGCCATGGTGCAGATATGAAAAATATGGGGATTGCTCATAAGAGGGTCCCAGCAGTGGTTAAACCAACATACATTGTTTCTAAAATAGAAAACAGTTTATATGCGCCTCTTCCATTAGCAAAATCTGTAAAAAATCCTAGGGAACGTCTCCTGGAAAGTGCAGCGTTGGTCACATGGATACACAGTGCTAATTCACTCTAGATTGACTCGGAAGTTTACAGATCAGCAAGGCCTTCTGTATTATTAAAACTTATTGTTACGAATTTTGTTAGATATTTTTAGTAGAATTATAATTAAAATTATTGTGTTTCTCCGTGCATGAGACAAATTTTAAGAGTAAGCTACGTGGAAAAGTAAAAATACTGTAACACGTGCATTTAACATTGAATAAATGTAATTGACTACTGTGTCAGCTGTAACCATAATTTTATCCTCTTGTTAGTTTCCGGAAATCTCGAGAAGCAAAGAAATTTCTTGCTACCAACTGAAAGCTATAAAATGCCAGAGAGAAAACATCTCAGTTCAGTTATTTAGTTAGCTGCTCTTGTTATTGTTACGAGTTTAGCGAGAGATTGGAGTAGCTTTCTCTTTGCATTGTATTCTGTTTTAACGTTTTTAGTAATTTGAACTACTGATTGTATTGTGTGATATTTTGAACACTTGTATAAATAACTTTGAGGAAAATTCCAGAATCCTGTTATATTTCTTTTGATAAGAATAAATTTTATTAATCTATTATCGGACTTGTGCATTCAATCTGTAACGTACCCTTACACACACATTATTATTATTAAAATAATTAATGATCATCAGTTTCTGTAGATTAGTTCTGAGCCTTCAGAACATCTCGTATGCAGATTTTGAATATTTACTATTTTGAACCTTTACTTCAGTTGAGAAGGTAGCAGCTGTTTCTTCATGTGTTCTTCAATGTACTGTCACAACCTTATCATTCTTGTCAGCTTCATGTGCTAGATGGCAGCTATAACTTCTTCTTTGCTGCATGGTGTCTTATGTTGTGTCATTCTTTCTAAAAGCTCAGTTACTGATAGAAATAGTTTGCATATCTCATGTGAATGCCGAAGGAGTAAACCATCTCATCATGAGAAAATCCTCAAATTCAACTACTATTGATGTGGGGGATTTTAAGAAGAGAAATACAATGGAGATCTTACATAAGTTACTTATTCAACAATACAGACATAAATACAGCAGTTTTTCTCCTATATTTACAGATGAACCAGAGGCAGCTAATTATGTTTGAATACCATTCATGATTGAAAGCAATATAGAGGGCAGGCAGTTGCGCTTTGTATTGCTTATATTTGAGTTAACTGTTGTATATTTTACCCTTCCTTAGTATCTAAATAATGCATGGACGATTTTATTATGTACCCTGACTGACATAATAAGAAGACATGGATATCAAAGTCTTGACTGGTAGGTTACCAGACGTGTAGTAATAAAGGAAAATGAGCTGAAAGACAGCATATTCTACTGTGATTATGTCCAGTTAGCTTGTCTCTTTTAGAGATATTAAAACTGTTGTCAAGAACAAAATCGTAAGTAAATGACACCTGTTCTGGGATGTGTGGATGAATAAGAAGGTTATTTGGAAATTAAGGTCCATATCGCCATAGCTAGTTAAAGTGTTGCATGAACATCGAAACACGCATGCATACCAACTATTGACATGCTTGCTCATCAAACAACACCATTTGCATTGGGTTGTTGCTTTGTGCTGCGTGTAGTATTAGTTCCAAAATGTTTAAAACAATTCATCAGCTTGCCAACTATGACATAAGGTTAGTGCTTTGGTTTTTGACAGCAAGGAATCTTTCAGCAGCAGAAATTTGACAGATAAACAACATGTATGGCCCCAATTCGATGAGCGACAGCAAAGCGAGTGAGAGCTTTTAAGGACGGATGTGAAAATGTCCATGATGAACCATGATCAGGCCAACCTTTAGTGCTCACAGAAGATTTGGTCAATGCCATGGTCGAAAAGCTTCTTGAAGACTGACGATTCTCCTTACCTTAGCATTGGAATTTCCAAGTGTGGATAGAACAACTTTCCACAAAACCGTCTCTGAAAAGTTGCAGTTTCACGAATTATGCACACTTTGGGTTACCAGGCTGCTCACTGAGCAACAAAAAATGAAAAGAATAGCTTGTGATCTTGATTTCTTTGAACCAGTATCATGAGAAAGGTGATAAATTTTTATAGATCGTCAGGGATGAGATGTGGGTTTCTCGCATGACCCCAAAGGCTAAACATCAGTTAATGGAATGATGTCATAGGGCATTACCAGTCAAGGCCAAGCAAACAATCTCAACATGCAAGTTTATAGCAGCCATGTTTGGAGATAGACATGGAGTCTTGTTGAGGTTATGCAGCTATGGACAACAATAAATGCAGCCACTTACTGCTCTACCCTGACTGTATTTGGACATGAAAGTGCCAGACCCTGTTTTGCCATTCACACCCAAAATCTGATCAGATCTTTTGGATGGGAACGGATTAACCACCCATCATACAGTCCTGACTTGACATTGAGTGAATTTCACTTGTTCTGCTGCCTAAAGGAGTTTCTCAGCAGCAACTGTTTCGTCACAGATGACGAGATGAAAGAAGCAGTTCAAAACTGGTTATCCTCACAAGCAGCAGACATCTATGACTTAGGCACACAAAAGCTTGTAGAACATTATAAAATGTTTAAACAAGTATGGAAATTATGTAGAAAATAGGTAAACATGTAAGGAATTAAATAAAAAAAAGTTTTGAAAAAAATCTTGGATGATTTATCTTTTATTAGAAATTGGACCTTACTTTCCAAATAACCTACATGCATTAAGAAGCAAAAAACATAAAATGGAATATTGGGAGTTTACTAAAAACAGGAAGGATTAAGTCCTATTAACTCATCTTAGAATTTGCCACTCTCAAGTTACCTTCTGAAAACTGAGAATGAGCCTTTGTGCTCAAGACTGCAATGCTGAACTGTCGGTGTGTCTCATTTTATTTGAGTACTGTTATTTTCAGAAGGTCTGAATTATTTTAATAGCTGGGATATTTACTTCTTGGCCATTTAGTTAAAAAAATCTTAAATTTAGTCTGTTTTGTTATCTAAGAAAGACTGGTTATTATTTAATTATATTTGATTTTAAAGCAGGTTATTGTGTTTTAATGCCATATATTTAAATTAATGTCTTTTTTATATGATTTTAAATGCTTTTATATTTCAATTTATTTTGTGAATTTTATTTATCTCTCTGTCACTGTATTAATATTTGTTATGCATTGAACAAGCATTTGGCACATCATTACCTCTTCTGACTATGAGCTGCCGATTTAATCGTTCGTCTATCCATCCTTGCCCCCCCTTTCTTTAATTCATAGATATGTGCAAAATTTTATTATATTCTTAAAAACACCCCTACATTAATGAACTGGACAAAAGAATAGTTCTAAGCAAAGTGAAATCAGAAGATAGTTTTAATTATTTTCTCTCGTTTTTATTATTATTATTATTATCATTGCTAGTGATGCAAAACTGTATTATGTTTATAAAACCATATATGAAAATTGATAAAAAGAATTACAGTATTGTTAAACTTCTTGTTGCGTATTTTTGATTGGCCATCAAAATTTGATTCACATATTGTTTTCCATCTTTTATGTAACAGGGAATACCTCATCTTTAGACAGAAGAACTTTTTCAGTACACCGTCCATTCAACCGTGCTACAAAGACGTACTCTACAATTGCTTGCTCTGCAAAAACACTAAGCAATCATGTTCAGATACCTAATGAAACAATTCCTGATGTTAAAGATGAAGTGCCACCACCTCCACCTCCAGCAAAACATTACTGGACTGTAACATCTGTGTAAATATGTAAGTAAAGTTCTCCATTACGCTTTGTTAGTTCACCATTATTTATTAGCCCTTCAGGTAGCGAAGCTGAAGAGCCAAACCATTATGACCACTTACTCAATAATGCATTGTGCAGCCTTTGTCCTGCAAAACAGTTGCAAATCATCATGGGATGGATGCCACAAGTTCTTGGTAGATGACTGTAGACAGGTTGTACCAAATGTCAACAGTGGTCATTCAAAGTTGAGATATTCCTACATGGGAATGTATGAGCTTTGACCTTCCGCTTTGTGACATCCCACATGTGCTCTATTGGGATAAGATCCAGCTTGTTAAGTGGCCACAGCATTAAAACTGGGATGCATTCATATTCTCCTCAAACCACTCCCAACACATTTTGAGCCTTATGGCATGAGGCATTGTCCTGCCGGAAGATTCCATTTCTAGTTTTCCAATTGGGAAGAAGAACTCTTGCCTTGTAAGAGTGCAACTGATCCATAATTACATTCAGATAGTCTACAGATTTCATGGTGTGTTCTTCCAGATGTAAGGTTCCTAGAGCTGTCCATGAGATTGACCCCCAAAACATAATACTACCACCACCAGCCTGTTTATGACCTCCTGTACAGAAGGGGAGCAACTGTTACCCTGACTTAAGCATCCATGTGATGAATAAGAAATCATGATTCATCCGATCAGGCAACTGTCTTCCACTTATCCATGATCCAGTCTTGATGTTCCCTGGCCCACTGGAAGCATAGTTGACAATGACGCTTGATCAACAGAGGCACAAGAGTGGGATGTCTGCTGTGCAGTCCCATATCCAACAGTGTCCTCTGAACTGCATGTTCCAAAACACTTGCACTTGGACCTGCATTGTATTGGCTGCCAGCTAAATCACTGTCAGGCACTCTGCACCAAGCAGGACAATCTCCAACATTCCTTTTTTTTTTTTTTTTTTGATAATGCATGGATGTTCAACACCTTGGTATCTACTGTTGGTTTCACCATCATTTATCCACTTTGCATCAATACTAACAATGCCAGATTGGGAACAAACTACCAGTCATGAAGTTTTGTAGATACTTGTTCCGAGTCTTTGGGCCATTACAGTCTGCCCTCTATTAAATGCGCTTAGATCAGCAGCCTTTCCCTTCACACTCAAAAGTGAATAAAAGAATGATTCCTTACCTTCTCTAGCAGCAGTTAAATACCATTCCCACTTAATCACGTGCTCTCCATGTCCAGACGATTTCATTCAAAAATGTGGGGATGATCATAATGTTTTGACTCATCACTGTATTTAGATGTATGTTTCTTTGACAACATGGTGTACTCAGTTTGAATCCACACTTTGAAATATAATGTAGCACTAAAGCGTTGTTCTGATATATGTTTTGATACGATTAATATTATAGATTCCTTCACAATAAGCCATGTTCTTGCCATTACCTCACACATAGAAGTGTAATGAGGTTACTGTGGGACTTGTTATGGGTGACAGAATGAGTCTTCTCAAGATGATCACATAATGTATTTGCACATCAATTACAAAGTAAAGTAATGCCCTCTCTTGCTGAAAGATGATTTTAAGTATATAAGTGCTTAGTTTGTTTTATTTAAGGAAGAGGAACATTTTCTACTTTGTCCAGGTATACCATGCTGTTCATGAGTTACACAGTGAAGGAAAAATATTGTAGAATTCTGTCCTTCATCTATTTGCATCAAACACTGATTTGTAACAAAGCTTTATTTGCATTCATGCACTGCTTGAAGTTAATCATTTCATTCTTTAGCAGATGGGCTGATGTATGTAACCATTCAAAATAAATGCTGTTTCATCTCAAAAAGAGGCTGAGAACCTTTTAGGTCTTGTCCTCATCCAATTGGTTAAGCGGATTCACAGGAAATCATTGTTTTTATCATTTGTAGGGTTCGTAGTGGTCCTTATAAGTGCTTATAAGTCCTTATATTTGAAAATAAAATATAAAAGCCCTTATAGGTGCTTACTTTTTCTTTAAAGCACTACACACGTTTGAATTTCTATCAAGATTTTTAATAATTTACATTCTCGTTCCACAATCAGTTTATATTCACATTTATTATGATCAGTATGCTTATATTATGAGCATATGTATGAATATTTATAATAATATATTTGCAGTAACTGCTGAAGTATAGAATAAACTTCAAAAATGGGTAAGTGTGTTTTAACACAGATTAGTCTTCTAAGGAATACTATTCGGAATGGTATAAATAAAGTGAAAGTAATTGAATAGTCAAAATATTTTTTTGGGGGGGGCAATGCATTATACAGTACGAAAGTTGGGGGTTCTCCTCTTTCTCTGCAAAATCTCGAATATTGAAACCGTTATAGTTCGCAACAAAGCAAGCAAAAGACCTTTTTTTTTGGTCACTTTCCAACCTGGATAGAATAGGACTAAAAGTTCTGCGGTCTACCAACCCAAGCAAAAAATGATTCTGTTCCAGAAATTTAATGCAGTCTGTTCAAAATTAGAATAAAAAACACCTCAGATTGGTAATTAATCAATTTAAGTATGGCAGGGATATCGCACGGAGCGCAGTGATGTGTCCTGCTCAATGATAAATATGCCACATGGGCGTTTTCCCTTATTTAGTTAGTTTATTCTCCGAATACCGGCAGCTGTTGATTCCGATTGCTTAATATCACGTGCAGAAGAATTTAGGCTCACGTATTGCACAATAACTTTTGCAATATTTTGCAAAGATAAAAGAGTTTTACTGTGCTTGCTAAGCAAATTATTTTGCAGTTCCTTTGGGCTATTTTTTATATGATGCACATATCGAAATGTGAGTATTTAGCTGAAAGTATTATTTAGCTGAAAAATCTAAAGAACAGCTACAATCTACCCCCTTCCACTTTTACCAGTTACGCTCAACTATCCGGAATTTTCAGATATTCGGCAATTTCTGAGTATGCCCATTAGTTAAGTTTTCACTGTTAAAAAATGACTGCATGAAGCAATTTCCTGTCTTCTGAGTTCAGAAAAGTTCCTTTTTTTTACTTAAATTACTTTGCTGCAATATCTGTTAAGGGAAAACTTATGCAATGAAAATTTAGAAAATGTTCAGAATTTTGATTTAAGTTAAATTATTTAAATATTAATATGAGTGGAAAAATAAATTGTATTTATTTTTAGTTGCCAAGCAGATGTAATAAATATGGCTTATTATTATTTATTTTCTCTATTTCGAACTGAAATTTCATCATTAAATCTTGTAATATAATTTAGTTCTGCATAGTTTTTTTTTCCTCTCATTGTAAACTAGTTCTGTAAATTGAACTGTTATTTAAAATTTTAAAAAAAATTTAATTGTTTTCCATGGTTGAGTAATGCTCATTCTCTCTTAATAAATACTGAATTTCTCATATTTTAAGTTACAAGTCTTAGTTTTTCTTTTAAGGTTAGTTATGCAGTTGTGTATAATGTAATTAGACAGGTACTTAATTTTTTAACTAAAATGTGGCTACTAAAAAAATTATTTGGCTATTTTTTAACTAAAATGTACCCGTGGGGTTTCTACCATTTGGCTTCTTGCAAAAACTGAATAAAAGTATGCGACTCTAAACTGTCTCTTATTGCATCCACTTTCTCCCTTCATGGTAGATACAAAATTACCATTTTGGGGAGATAAAAAATGGATGGAACTACAGCAATAACATATGACTTACCCAGAGCTTATCTGATAACTGGGAGACTGTAAAAATCATGGTTAAGACTGCTGGTTGTTTGGCGACAATTGGTGATGTATGTTGAAAATTATACTTGGTTAAAATCTCAACTTACAAAGTGCTAATGTTATGTTTTTTACAGTAATATTAATTTCATTTTCAATTCAAATACAGAAGTGCAGCAACTATGCAACGAACTTTTAAATTAAATGTTAACTGTTTGTCTTTTTCATGTATAGCAGTGCTGCAACTAAACTCTGGACTTTTTCTTAAGTGAAGTGAACTGATTCTTGTGAGTTAGTCTTCCTCGTGCCTGTGCTGTTATCGCTAGCATGCAGAAATGCGGTGTGATATGTTTTAGTAGCATGCTCTTTTCTTTTGCTATGTAATTGTAAATAAATGTGATTAATTGAATTAGCTTATTTGTGAATATGCAGAACCAACCTGTGGTAACAAGAAAAAACCTCTAACTCCCGTCATAGCTGGGATGACGGGAATATCCAAAAAGCCCAGTCGGTTATTTCTTCATGAGATCTCAGTGTTACCTCTTTCCTATAATATAAGAGAAACTGTAGTGAAACATTTGCCCTTTTTGCTGCCAACAACTCTAAAATTCCTCCATATGGATTTGTACATAGACAGTTTGACTTGGTCTCCAGAAACCCTTCTCATGGACATTTGTGATTGCTGATGTAACTTCTCCTATCATCGGTGCTGACTTTTTGAAACATTTTAATCTTCTTGTTGATTTGAAACGGCAGTGTCTTATAAATCCTGAAACTTCATTGTTTACTTATGGCAATGTTGCTCACAAAAGCCAACCTTCTATTGTCACTGTTTCTGTTAATTCAGATTATGACTCCTTGCTTTCTGAGTTTCCAGATATAACAAATCCTACTCTAATTAAGCAGACTGTTCCTCATAACACAGTGCATTATATGTTGACCCGTGGACCACTTGTAACCTTAATACCGAGACGACTCCATCCCAAGCTGCACGAAGCATTCAAATCTGAGTTCGAATTCCTCCTGGATCAAGGGATAATCCATCCTTCGAAGAGTCCATGGAGTTCACCATTGCATGTCGTCCCTAAGCAGGATTCTCACAGTTCGTTCCGGTTGGAGATTACCGCAAGCTGAATTCTGTCTACTGCATTTGGTAGTTATCCAATTCCGTACCTTCAAGACTTTGCTCATTCACTCTACGGTAAATCCATTTTCTCAAAAGTAGACATTTTTAAAGCATTTCACCAAATTCCTATTGCAGATGCTGACATTCCTAAAACAGCAGTGACAACCCCATGGGG